CGCTCTGCGATGGCACCAGGGTACAAGCAGCTGAGTCTGTGTCTCTTGGGTTCAGGGATTTTGCATGACTCGGTAGAGGCAATCAGCCTTCAACTCAAAGCGAGGCCACTGACAGGCTCTTTGCGGGTCCACCACGGTGCCATTGACGCTTGCCAGCTATTCATAGGCCGCCTTCACTGTGTGGTCATCTTGTTGGTCACGAGGAAAGTCCATCAGGGCAAGAGCCTTCGCATTTGCCTCAGCAGGCAAAGGAGGGAGTGCTGGGCAGCTCGCCCCTTTCCCCTTCCTGGGGCCCCTCATCCTCGAGCAGTTCCTCTAGCTGGTCTCCCGGCAGGGTTTCCCCCAGAAGGATTCCTTCGACATTGGCTGGGCCTGACGAAGCCCTGAGTGTGATCTCTCTAAGCAGATCATGAAATCCTGTCCTGTCCTGGCCCAGGATAACAGGGTATGGTAGTGCAGACACGATCCCTACGATCATCTCCGCGGTCCTCCCCTTCATCATGAGTAGGACCCTAGTGCAGGGATAGGCCTTCACATCCCCCACCCCACTACAGAGAAGGAGGAGCAGAGTACAGCTGCTGCTCCTTCTCTCCTGCCTCTTCCCTCTGCTCCTGCTGCCCCTGCACCAGCCGGAGCTCTCCCCGCCCTACCCAGCCACCACCCGCCTGCTGAGGCCCCTGCTGCTGGACCTGCTCTCCCTGGACACCGCTGCTGCTGCTGGTGGGGAAGGGAAGGGGCCTGCCAGCCTGCCCCCCACCCCATTCCAGAGGGAGAGGAAGAAGACCCCACCACCAAAAGCACCTACCACCTGGGATCCCCCTCCTCAGCTGGCCACCGCTCGCCTGCTGCTGCAGCTGCAGCACCTGCGCCTCGTCGGGCGAGCAAAGAGAAGAAAGACGCCAACACTCAGACCTCTGGAGGGGGTCTTTAAAGACTGAGCTTTCTTCATCTGCACTTCTGGGGTGGTGGTAAGCTGAACTGCTGAGAAGGGGCCGGGAGAGAGGCACAGAAACCTCCCCACAGTCCAGCTGCCCCCACTTCCTGTTGCCACCACCCCCAATGCCCCCTCCACCACCTTTAACACCTGGACATTCTCTTCGCCCCTCGACAGGGCTGCTACTCCATCTGAGACTGTGCTGCTGCAGCAGTGGGTAAGGTTGAGCCCCCACAAGCGCTCCCTCCCCACCCCCTGGACTTGGCCTCAGCTACATTTGGCTGGGGGGGCCTCCCTCACCCCTGCTCAGCCCATCCTACCTCAGCAGCTTGCCTCCTTCCCCACTGCTGCCCTGCCTTGCTGGCCCAGTTTGTTTTTCCCTCCCTCCCTACGGTTGCTTACCCACCATGCCCAGCCCCAAAGTTTGTTGCCTGTCATGCTCTTGTACCAGCTAGCTTGTTCGTGCGTGTGCCCCGCCCCTCTCAGCTGCTGCCTTGCCTCGTTCCGCCCTTAACTCCCCCAGTATCTCCTTCCTCCCCCAGCCTCCCGCTAGCCTTTTGGCACTGCCCTGCCTGTCTGATTTACCTGCTTTTGGCAATAACCATGATAATCGATATTCTAATTATTGAGAATGGTCCTGGCATTTTGTTGATCTGCCAAAATCTCCCCAAACATCCTAAATCTACAAGAGGCATGATCCTGTGAGGTGCTACTGCTACTCACATGAAGAGGGCAAACCAAATTTGGCCTTTATGACATCATTTCCAAAGGAGTCTAAGATAATTTGGCTCTTAATTTTCATTGTAAGTCAGTAAGAGTTGGGTTCCTGACCAGCGTTCCCTTTAAGCTTTGCTTTTGCACAGCCACTCAGGAGAGATTCAAATGTCACCCAGGTGATTAGCAAAGCATCCACACACGAGGTTATTTTTTTCTACTAATGGTTCACATTTGTAAATGCCTTGGTAAACATAGAAAAATTTATTCTGCACAGAGATGGAAAAAAATCAAAATGTGGATGGAAAAGATTAGAGGGAGCATTGTTCCAGACTCCCATATAGTCCTTTGAAAATCCCTAGTGTGGCAGGGCCCCTCTTCCCAAGCTACCACTTGGCAGGCCTCTCACTCCTAACCCCTGAGTTTGGATTTTGCAACAGGTCTCTGTGGTAGGGAGCCCGGCCACGCCTCCTCAGACTCCCTCTCTAGCTGCCTCCACCTAACGCTGTTACAGATTGTTCTCTCAAACTTCTTCCTCTCTGTCTGTCCACCACCTCCCTTCAGTCCTCTCACACCTAGGGTGTGTCTAGACTACATGCCTCCGTCAGCGGAGGCATGTAGATTAGACAGATCGGCAGAGGGAAATGAAGCCATGATTTAAATAATCACGGCTTCATTTAAATTTAAATGGCTGCCCCGCTCTGCCGATTAGCTGTTTGTCAGCAGATCGGGGCAGTCTGGACGCGCCGCAGTCGACAAAGAAGCCTTTGTCAATCGGCGCAGGTAAACCTGGTTTCACGAGGTATACCTGTGCCGATCAAGAAAGGCTTTCTTTGTCGTAGCCAAATTAGCCCCCATCATACTGTACGTATAGTTGGGGTTATTTTTCCCAATGTGCATTACTTTACACTTATCCACATTAAATTTCATTTGCCATTTTGTTGCCCAATCACTCAGTTTGGTGAGATCTTCTTGGAGTCCCTCACAGTCTGCTTCTGTCTTGACTATCCTAAACAGTTTTGTATCATCTGCAAACTTTACTACCTCACTGCTTACCCCTTTCTCCAGATAATTTATGAATAAGTTGAAAAGGATTGGTCCCAGGACTGACCCTTGGGGGACACCACTAGTTACCCCTCTCCAATCTGAAAATTTACCATTTATTCCTACCCTTTGTTTCCTGTCTTTTAACCAGTTCTCAATCCAAGAAAGGACCTTCCCTCTTATCCCATGGCCATGTAATTTACACAAGAGCCTTTGGTGAGGGACCTTGTCAAAGGCTTTCTGAAAATCCAAGTATACTATATCTACTGGATCCCCCTTGTCCGCATGTTTGTTAACCCCTTCAAAGAACTCAAACACCTACCCCAAAAAAAACACCAGGAAAAAATTCTATCAAAGGGGGAAAAAATGGGGGAAGACCAAAGTTGTTGAGCAAAAAAAAAAAAAAAGACTCCAAGGACTCTTTAAGAGTGAGTACAGAGAACAGGGAACTAAGCCCCAGATCAAACACCTACCCCAAAAAAAACACCAGGAAAAAATTCTATCAAAGGGGGAAAAAATGGGGGAAGACCAAAGTTGTTGAGCAAAAAAAAAAAAAAAGACTCCAAGGACTCTTTAAGAGTGAGTACAGAGAACAGGGAACTAAGACCCAGGGAGTCTTTTGGCCGGCAGCCATTTTGTGCCGGCAGCCTTGGGGAACCAGGTAAGCATGGGGGCTGGGGTCGGAGCGCTGGGGGGTGTTGAGTGCCCCTGAGGAGAGGCTGGGTGCTGCATGTTTGTAGGATTGCCAGGTGCCCGGCATTTTCGCCTGCTGGCTGGGGAAAAATTCAGAGAATACCGGACATCTCAGGTGTCCGGTATTCTTTGATTTTTTTACTGGACAGGAGCCAAAAATACAGGCCTGTGCCGGTGAATACCGGACACCTGGCAACCCTACTTAATTGGCCTGCAGTTCTCTGCTTCTACTTACAGGTTTTTTACCCTTTTGGGCTGCCTTCTTCCCTCTCTGAAGCCGCTTCCTGGCCTGACCCTGTCACACTAGTTATATTAGAGAAGATCAGACATGGTCTTAGCTAGGAATGGCAGCTGAATTTAACATAAAAAACAGTGTGGAATTTTCATAAATGTTCAGTGGTGGCAGAACTCTGTTCCTATGGAAGCCACTGATTTCAAAGGGAGTGGAGTTAAACCAATATTGAACACTTTGGCTACGTCTACACTGGCCCCTTTTCCGGAAGGGGCATGTACATTTGAAGTAGGAATAAGAGCCTCCGGAAAAGGGCACTTTTTCCGGAGGATCGGGGCCAGTGTAGACGCTCTTTTCCGGCTTTTTTAAAAGCCGGAAAAAAGCGGCGGACATTTTTATTTAAATGCCGCGAGGGATATTTAAATCCCCCACGGATTTCCCTACTACGATAGGTGAAATTTACATGCCCCTTCCGGAAAAGGGGCCAGGTTAGACGTAGCCTTTGGGAAAATCCCACCTTTGGAGCATTGTTCAGCCAGCTTTGGCCTTGCATTAGACCACTGACTAGAGCTATGGGTTCCCTCTGGGGGGGTGTGAAGAAATTCCAGGGAGGGGCGTGAGGCAACCCAGCCCCCTCATCCATCCCCTTCCCCCCCCAGTTGTGCTGCTATTTTTGTTTTTTGGCCCCAGTTAGTTCCTTTTTTTGGTTTGTTTGTTTGTTTGTTTTTGCCCAACAAGTTTTGCTGCTATGGGGGAGGAGGGGGGTGGCGGCATGAGTGTTTCTCAAAAATCAAAAAGGGGGCATGATGCCAAAAAGTTTGGGAACCACTGGACTAGACTGACTTTCTCGGGCTTTGTCTACACCTAACTGTTTAAAGCACAGCTGCAGCATCACTTTAAACAGTAGTTTCACACCCCTGAGCCAGAAAGTTAAAGCCCTGTATAACCTTGGCCTCACTAAACCAGCACATGTTGAATAGTAATAGAGAGGTAGCCGTATTAGTTTTTCCTTTTGTTTTAGCAAGATCAGACTATGTAGCACTTTAAAGACTAACAAGATGGCTTAATAGGTGATGAGCCCACAAAAGCTCATCACCTATTAAACCATGGGTTCCCAAACTGGGAAGCGTGCCCCCCTGGGCCATGACGCTGAAAAGTTTGGGAACCGCTGTATTAAACCATCTTGTTAGTCTTTAAAGTGCTTCATAGTTTTTCCTTTTGTTTAAACCAGCACAGTGAGATCCACAAACTTGTTTACCAACCTGTTACAAAAACCTTTGTGTCAACTTGGCCTCACTAAGACCCAGCCTCTTTCTCTGTGAATTGATCACTTATTCGCTGAATGGGGATTAGCAAATGACTGGGGAGGAGACTCGATTACTTTGCAGTCCCAAGATAGTTTAAGTACTATATTCTAGATAAGGTCTAAGTAGTAGCTAAGATGATGGGTATTAATGCTTCATGCTGCTAATTTCTGCCAATGGACACTGATCATATTTTTATTACACACTTGCATTTTATCCTGTGCAGAAAATCACTTACTGAAAGGCAATGGAGTGGCCAGATCCCACTTCCATATTTTTGGTTTTTGTCCTGACTATTATATTCATTATGAAAACTCAAAAATTCTGGAATAGCAGCTTCAGAGAGGATTTCCCTCCTGGACCAACTCCTTTACCCATCATTGGAAATCTGCATATATTGGACCGGAAGAGGCCCTATTGGACTCTGCTGGAGGTAAATCTTTTTGATCTATGTATTATCACATTGTTCACTTTATTCCAAAGGTCAGAGAGTATTTTATATTCCTTCTACCTGTCACTACCCTGATGTGTAATGCAATGGGCACCACAGACCCAAATTAATTATCCATGAAGGAAACTTTTAAAGCTGCAGGATTCATTGTTTTATGGTCAATAATTCCCTCTGGAGGTTTAAATTCATGTTCCTGGATTTTCTAATGTAAATGATTTTCAGCAATAAAAGTGAAGGACGATCTTCTCTAAGCATACAAGGGGCCCCATCCAGAGTCTGTTGAAACTTTAGGGCAGTGGCAATACCCTCTGCCAAACCCCCTTTAGGGCTTTAAGACCACTGAATTGGCAGAAGCCAGCTGTTTGCTATTCCTTTCCTGTAGGGAGAGTTTTCTGTGCTCCCCAGTCAGGCAACTGGGGTTATTCTTTATCAGTTCTATTACTACAGTGTGAGGCCAACAGGCAGAATTGAACCTGAGACCTCCTCTGGCGCTTATGCATGAGCTTCTACCCATGAGCTAAAATCAAGCAGGCACTTTGCTTAGTGCCACTAGATGAGACATAGTGATAGAAATGTAGCTGTGTTAGTCTGGTGTAGCTGAAACAAAAAACAGGACTATGTAGCACTTTAAAGACTAACAAGATGGTTTATTAGGTGATGAGCTTTCGTGGGCCAGACCCACTTCCTCAGATCAAATAGTGGAAGAAAATTGTCACAACCATGTATACCAAAGGATACAATTTTAAAAAATGAACATATATGAAAAGGACAAATCAAATTTCAGAACAGAAGGGCGATTGGGGGGAGGGGAAGATAAATGTCTGTGAGTTAATGATATTAGAGGTGATAATTGGGGAAGCTCTCTTTGTAATGGGTAAGATAATTAATGTCTTTGTTTAAGCTTAGGCGTAAAGTGTCGAATTTAAACATGAATGACAGTTCAGAGGATTCTCTTTCAAGTGTAGTCTTAAAAGGTCTTTGAAGCAGGATGCAGGTAATCAAGTCGTTGAGACAATGTCCTTTCTGGTTGAAATGGCAAGAAACTGTTTTTGCTTTGTGATCCTGTCTAATATCTGTTTTGTGGGCATTGATTCTTTGGCAAAGTGTCTGAGACGTTTGTCCAATGTACATAGCAGACGGACACTTTCGGCCCATGATAGCATAAATTACATTTCTGGATGAGCAGGAATATGTGTTCTTGATCTTATAACTCACTTGGTTAGGTCCAATAATGGTATCAGCAGAGTGAATATGTGGACAAAGCTGGCAACGGGGTTTGTTGCAAGGGAACAAAGATGAGACAGTGAGCCACACCCAGAAGGTATGTGAGTTCCAATAGCACCTACAAGCCCTACTTGTAGAGCAGGATTCCATTGTGCTAAGCACTGTACAAACACCAAGGAGGCTGCCTGTCCCAAAAAGTTTACAGTCTAAGCATGGGATAAGATAGAGATTGATGGAGGTGTACAAGGAAACAATGAGACATGATTATTTAAATAGACAAGCCAGACACAGGGTGGGGGAAGGGCTATAGAACACAAGCAGAGCAAATGAGGGGATGGTGACAAACAGCCACAATGAATCCCTAACATCAGTCATGTCCAAGCGCCCAGCATTGTATATACATATTCATATGCTTATACTTGCCACATCCAGCATCAATTTGACAAAACTACTTAGTAATTCTAGTATCAGAGGGGTAGCCGTGTTAGTAATTCTATTATACTAGCCAATTAGCCCATCATAAGACGGGATTTTCAGGTCTCTCCTCCAGGTCGGTCTTTTCTCCTGAGCCTCCGGTCTCTCGCTCCATGTCTCTTTCTCTCTCCTCCTCCTACTGCCTCCCACTCTCTCTCTCTCAGCTGTCCTCCACCTTCTGCCTCTCTCTCCGTCTCTCTCTTTCTCTTCTCCCCCTCCTGCCTCTCACTCTCTCTCCACTCTCCTCTGTCTCTGTCGGGGATGCACGCTTGTCCAGGCCCCGCCTCCTGGCCGTGTACATAACCGCACTGCCCCCCACAGGAATGCTGCATGGAGACCGCGGTGCCCAAGTGGCCACTTATGAACTGGATGCAAATAGTAGTTAAACATTTTACTATGCAATTATGTGTGCAAGTTAGATGTTTCAGTACTGTAACAAGTGCACATTTGTATTCCCAAATATGAATTCCTTCCCTAAAAATCAGTCCCAGGGGAGTCAGAATTGTATTGTATGGCCATCCCTTTGAATGTTCGTCTAAATTACACCAAATAAATCCCTGCTGTAATGCCTTCAATAGATGAATGTGTTTAGCATTTAGTATTCAAGACTACACTATATAGAGAGATAAAAATAGCCCTGGATACTTATATTCACAGGGTGTGTCTAGACTACAGGGTTTTGTCGGCAAAAGTGGACTTTTGTCGACAAAACTATACCTGCGTCTACACTACCGCCGAGTTCTGTCGACATAACGTCGACAGAACTCGGCAGTTTTGTTGACGGCAGTAAACCTCATTCTATGAGGAATAACTCCTTTTATTGCTTTGTCTACAGAACGGGATGTAGTCTAGACGCTCTTTGTCAACAGAAGCTTTGTCAACAGTATCTGTCGACAAAGCCTCTGTCGACAAAAGCCTGTAGTCTAGACGTACCCACACTGAATCTGAACATTTAAAATTATAGAGAACCCTGACATGAAAACACTTTTTTTGTGCCAAATTCTACTCTTTGCTGCACCAGGTTATAATTGGAGTAACCGCATCATCATTAGTGGGGTTACAATGGATTTATATGAGTGTAACTGGCTATTAATTATTATTATTATTTATTGTTACTTACAATCAGCTAGATTCAGTAAGTGTATATCTCCTGTGGTTGTTGAATTCAATGGTTTTATTCAGTGAGTGCAGACAATGATATGACCAGGCCAAGCTCAAGGACGCGGAAGTTCAAGCATCTGAAAATGTATTTGCAATGAAAATAAATCTACTTCAAGTTTGGACAAAACAGATCTGTAAAATACTGTTTACATATAGATTTCTGGTGTGTGCACATATAAACAATGAGAATATTTTCAATGCTAACTAAAGACTCTGAAACAAAACCCTCCCTACCTCTTTTTAACAGTGGGGGAGATTTTATCTGAAAGGCCTAAGGAGCATGAAACAAAAGGAAGATGGTAACATAAGAAGCACACTTAGGATTTTACCTCAAAATGAGGTTAAATGGATTAACTGGTGGGGCAACTCTTTCACCATGGAGGAACAAAATGCAGGACAATGTAGCACTTTAAAGACTAACAAGATGGTTTATTAGATGATGAGCTTTCGTGGGCCAGACCCACTTCCTCAGATCAAATAGTGGAAGAAAATAGTCACAACCATATATACCAAAGGATACAATTTAAAAAAATGCCTCCCCCACCCCGCATCTCCCTTCTGTTCTGCAATGTGATTTGTCCTTTTCATATTTGTTCATTTTTTTTAATTGTATCCTTTGGTATATATGGTTGTGACTATTTTCTTCCACTATTTGATCTGAGGAAGTGGGTCTGGCCCACGAAAGCTCATCATCTAATAAACCATCTTGTTAGTCTTTAAAGTGCTACATTGTCCTGCATTTTGCTTCAGCTACCCCAGACTAACACGGCTACATTTCTATCACTATTCACCATGGAGGAAGTAATATTACAGACTCCTGGCTCACCGTCCCATGTAGCATCTGACATAGAAGTGTGAGGGGGTATGATTGGAGAGCTGCTGTGCTCCCACAATCTCTGGCTGCTGTACATGAACCCAGGGAACTAATCTAGCAAGCTTTATACTTTAGAGCAGCCCCACCGTTGCTCTAGACAATGTCTCTGGGCAGGTGTAGAACCAGGCCCCAGATCAGGAAAGTGCAGCCACTTGCTTTTCATTAGCTGTTCCCTGCCGGGCTGCAACCCGTGGATGTTGGGTACAGATGAGAATCTGTCACTATATTTTCATTCTCATCATCAGAACAGGCTGACTTAGATTATAAGATTTTAGTCATATATTTGATCAGATTTCTGCAGCATGTAGCACAGGAGGGTTTTCTAGTCCTGCTTGAACACTTTGAGGACTATAGGGTGACCAGAGAGCAAGTGTGAAAAATCAGGATGCTTTTTGAGAGGGGGGACATAGTTGCATACATAAAACAAAGCCCCTAATATCAGGATGTCTCATCACCAGTGCTGGACTGAGTCATAGTTGCGCCCTGGGCAGCGGGCGCGTGGCGCATGCGCAGCCCTGCCCCTGGGTGCACAGCGCTTCTTACCACTTCAATCAGGCACCCCCCCATAGGTTGGCACCCCGGCCAGCTAGCCCCCCCCCCTTAATCCGGTCCTTCTCGTCACATTATGATCCAATACGAATTAGACACTGAAATACTTTTGAGGATCCAGACCTATCCTCATGGTTCTTTTTCTCTGAGCTCAGGAAAGATTCTGACATTGAAATAACATCCAATCAGGATGGCAAAATAATTCTAAACCAGCTGTGAATGTCACGTCTAACTTTAATCCTTTCATTTTCTTCCTCGTTTAAGCTGTCAAAAAAATATGGCCCAGTCTTCAGCATTCAGATGGGATGTCAGAAGATGGTGGTGCTGTCCGGATACAAGATGGTGAAAGAGGCTCTTGTGAACCAGGCAGATGCATTTGCAGAGAGACCTAAAATCCCAGTATTTGAAGCTACTTCAAAAGGATACGGTAACAGTTTTCCTGTTACTTATAAGCCTAATTTACAAGAAGCAAGTAAAATGGTTTCTCTGTGGAGGGAGTAGATGGCTTAGAAGCTGTGATCACTGACCAATAGATCAGGACCTACTGGTAGAACCTGGAGCCTCTGACAGGTGATTCTGACTGGTTTGACCAGGCAGTTACCAAGTGCTGGCACTTGAGTTGCCCTTTCCCCCACTGCCATTTATCTCTTGCCTTCCGTCTTTGAGCTGCACCTTGGGAGCCTTCTGCTTCCTGTGCAGGGTAGCAGAGACACAGGAAGGGGGCACTGATGTCAAAGTGCCCTCCTCCCAGTACCCCATCTCCACCGAGTGAGCAGGGGCAGAGCCTTAGAGAAAGGCTGGGGAAGGAGGCGAAGCAAGAGTATTTGGATTTCAGGTAGATCCCAGACGTACTTACATTCGAAAGGTGATCTTGCACTTTAAAAGGTTGGAGATCACAGGCTTAGGGTCTAGCATGCCAATTTAGAGCAGTATTCACGTTGATCAGCATACATTAGTAATTACTTCAGAAAAGTCAGTGGACTTGAAGCTAAAAGTGGTGTGAGAACAGAAACAGCCTGAATGAGCCACAAATCCCTTAGAACTACTCGGACCCCCGTACCTACGTCTAAGGTAGACAAAGTTGAGGTCACATGCTGCAGAAGCACAAGGAGGTGGACACTGAAATGGCAGCACTACCACCGTTTATGATATTATTAAAAGTTTCATGATAGTTGGTGTTTCTCATAAAGCCCCAGCTTCTGGAATCATGTGAAAACATTGGCTTGTATTTTTTTAAAGTTAGTTTCCAATGGAACCTGCTGCTGAGTGTGTTCCAGGTTTCACACTGTCTTGCTCCATAGAGCAGAGGAATCAGTACAGACTCAAATTACAGTAGCTTGGCTCTTTAGCTCAAACAGTAGCAGCTAGTGCAGGCATGTCCAAAGTCCGGCCCGAGGGCCAATTGCGGCCCGCGTTCCGGTTTAATACGGCCCCACAGGTAATTTGGCAATATCTATCTTTTATGGCCCCCAACGAATCCATATGTATTGAGATGAATACATTGTAAAATCTCAGTTAATGTCAGTTGGTCTAAATCAGTTATAAATATATTTGGACACAACATGTATACTTGGTGTTATGTTCCTGTTCATATTTTTTGAACTTAAAAGTTGACAGACAACCTTTATTACCAATAATATGTAATGTACTTTACAATGTTCCTGACATATATTTCAGCTTCTTGGATTTTTTTTTCATCTGGCCTTCAGATATGAAAGGCAGAGTGATTTAACACCTGTTTAGATTTGTCATCCATGTGACGAAATGAAAAGTATGCTGTTTGCAATAAACTTTGCATAAAATAGTTAATTTGCATTTAATTTTAATGGTTCAAAGAATGTCAGGCAAAATGGTCGGCCCTCACGCATGTTCACTTCATCAAATCTGGCCCTCTTTGAAAAAAGTTTGGACACCCCTGAGCTAGTGCTTTTAGCTCTGGAGGTGCTTGATTGAATCCCCTCAGTATCAGCAGTGAAGACACCTGCTACACTTGCTCTCATGGTTAAGAAAAAAACTTGAAAAAGTGAATCTTAGGGTATGTCTACACTACCCTCCTAGTTCGAACTAGGAGGGTAGTGTAGACATACCCTAAGATTCACTTTTTCAAGTTTTTTTCTTAACCATGAGAGCAAGTGTAGCAGGTGTCTTCACTGCTGATACTGAGGGGATTCAATCAAGCACCTCCAGAGCTAAAAGCACTAGCTCAGGGGTGTCCAAACTTTTTTCAAAGAGGGCCAGATTTGATGAAGTGAACACGCGTGAGGGCCGACCATTTTGCCTGACATTCTTTGAACCATTAAAATTAAATGCAAATTAACTATTTTATGCAAAGTTTATTGCAAACGGCATACTTTTCATTTCGTCACATGGATGACAAATCTAAACAGGTGTTAAATCACTCTGCCTTTCATATCTGAAGGCCAGATGAAAAAAAAAATCCAGGAAGCTGAAATATATGTCAGGAAAGTGAGAAGGCAAGTACAGAACATACAATTCATTGTTTATAAGAATTTCTTTTTAAAATCTTATGATTTCTGGAACCCACGTGGGGATTTTTAATGCTTGGGATTGACAATATAGAAATAGTCTCCTCTCTATTTTTACTTACACCTTCCCCTGCCTCCCATCATAGGCCCTAGGTCTCAGCCACTATTATAGACTCTGATCCTGCACTGGACTTCTGTGCCCATTCAGAGCTAATTCTAGAAGAAGAGTAATTAGCCTGTTTAAAGTATTGGTAGAATTGGGTAGGTCTAGGGAAAACAATCTTCCCTATTCAGGAAAGTACATAAGTAAGTTCTTTAACGTAAGCATTTATTTTAACTTCTATTGTCATCAATTATGATGACACTTGTGATCAGCTCTAGAGCATCAAATCAAATGTTCTGAGTAGCAGGTGATATTTCTAAGTGATATTAGGTAGGTGATATTTATTTTAATTATTAGAAGCTAATATTTATTTTCATTATTCTGCTGACTCTACTCTCTCCCTCCATTGTCAGGGGTTATTTTTTCTCACGGCAATAACTGGAAAGTGATGCGAAGATTTACTCTCATGACTTTACGAGACTTTGGCATGGGGAAGAGGGTCATAGAGGACCGGATCGTGGAAGAGTCTGAATTTCTAATTAAGGAAATTGAATCTCGTAAAGGTGGGTGGGCATTTCACTTCACACACATTTCCAACCTTTTCCACATATGCCTTTAAAGAGGCACCCGACAAAAGTCATCATAGTTTCACTCAACGTCCACCTTCACAGGCAATGTCACCCTTCATATTTTGTTGACATGTGGACATCTTTTTTTCTGCAGCTGACAGAGAAGTATTTTGCGAAGTAGTGAGGTTTTACACCACGCTGCTGCTCTCTCTTTCTGCAGAGCACGCTGAAGCCACTCTTTGGATCTAGAAAGTGTGTAACCACTGCCCCTACATTAGTTCATCCCCAGCCTGTAGGACCTGGACATGTAAGGCCTCATGCACTGTGAGCTATGTGAGCAAATCCATTGGGCCAGAGTGGTACTTCAATGGACAAAATGAGTCCCTCTCTGTGAGATTCCTCCCCTAGTCACAATCTTTGATTAATTCAGAGGCACCAGGAGTTGAAGTGCAAGGTAACTACAAGCACAAAGTATCTATAAAACAAACACATTTGCTTCCCTAGTTTAACAGAGAGGCCTAAATGCCCTTTGATGCAAGACACGCTAGAAAAGGAGACATGGTCCTAGAGCCTCAAAGATATTTATGTGAATAATTCTAACTGAAATCATATCTTTGAAGATCTGAGCAGTTCGTTTTATTTTTATGCTGTATCATCAAGTATCACTTCTTAATTGGCTTTTGACCTTTGCTGTGAATGGCAGTAAACAGCTGTTGGATTATTAGAGTGAGCATGGTGTGTTTGTAATGACGTGGGAGGCACTTATCATTATACCGCTTATGAATGCTGTTTGATGTTATCAGTTCTCTGCATATTTATGCCCTCGTGGCTGTCTTTTGGCATATTCTTGGATGATACTTCTTATGCTAAGGAGAGGGAGGCTGGGGTCTTCCTCTGCATGGGACAGTCATTGAGGGTCATCTGTTGATTGAGCCTTGCCCTAGCAGAGCAATGGGATGCTTGCAACCTAATTAAAACCAGTTTTTCAAGTGTGGACTCTGGTGAGAGAGCCTGACTGAGAACCTGCCTGCCTGTCTCCCTGCAGATAGGAGGCAGCACGAGCAACCGACCACCTGATAGAAGCCCTTGGTTACCTGAGGGAGGCTTTGAGGCTGACCAGGAGGTTCACATAACAGAGGGGATTAGAAGTTATAAAAGGACCAGGTCAGCTCGGAGCAGCTCTGTCATACCTAGGGTTGCCAGATGGTTGAAACAAATATACCGACCACTCCTCCCCCCCCCAAAAAATGGTAAAAATTCTGTTGAAGGGGAAAAAAGGGGGAGAAAGACCAAAGTTGTTGAGCAAAAAACTTGTTGAGCATGTCCCCTTTAAGAGTTGGTGCAAGGATAGGAACAGGGGAGTGGTTGAGCACTAAGACCCAGGGAAAACATTGCTTCCCCTAGGTCTTTTGGGGGGCCAGAGGCCAGGCGCTGAGTGTGTGTAGGGTTGCCAGGTGCCCAGCATTTTCGCCTCCTGGCTGGGGGAAAATTCAGAGCATACCGGACATCTCAGGTGTCCGGTATTCTCTGAAATTTTTTACTGGACAGGAGGTGAAAATACCGAACACCTGGTAACCCTAGCACAACCAGCACAGGAAGAAGAGGCTGAGATGGAGGGAAGGAGTCTATGACAGGGGACCTGGGTGTAGGGTTGTCAACTTTCTAATTGCTGAAAACCAGACCCCGAGGTCTCTTCCCCCTGAGACCCTATTTCTGCTCCGCCTCTTCCTTCTAGGCCACGCCCCCACTCCACCTCTTCCCCAGGCCACACCCCCTGCTCACTCCTCTCCATGCCCCCACTGCTCGCTGATCTTCTCTCTCCCTCTTCCGCACCATTGAACCATCTCCCCCTCCGTTTCCTCTTCTTCCCCAGCTCTGGGGCTGGGCTAAGAGCTACAGCCTGCCTGCCTCCATGCAGAGAGGAGGCAGCACTAACTGAGCAGAAGCTGGTGTGGGGTGATCACATTATACCTGGCCCCCTCCTCCGCCCCCCAGCTGCATTAACCTGACTTTTGGTGTCTGGTCAGAACATCTGACTGGACCCTGACAGGTCCCATTTTCGACCAGACTTTATGGCCTCTGGCAACCCTTCCTGGGACCCTGAAAAGACATTTAACAGATCCCAAAGAATGCTCAGGAGCGATGCGGAAACTGAAGCCTTCAGGGAAGGGAAGTGAGGGGTGTGTACTGGGAAGGGTGTTTGGGGAGTGCCGGCAGGTGGCGTGTGTACTGAGAGTGAGTCTTTAAGGGGTGTTGAAGGGGTGTATTTGTACTGGGCAAGGGAGCGGACTGCCATGCTAGGCCCCTGGGCAAGGAGGGGGGAGTGGCTCTGTGTTCCCAGAAGGGGCAGGAACTTGGGTGGAAGGGATGAGGCCAGGGGCAGCCAGCTCTCAGCACTGCCCAGAGTGCATCATGCCAGCCTCCCTCCCCTCCCCACAGCCCTTAGAGCTACCCAGAGGGCGCTACTTCCCCACACCCCCCCAAGCGGACTGCCATGCTAGGCCCCTGGGCAAGGAGGGGGGAGTGGCTCTGTGTTCCCAGAAGGGGCAGGAACTTGGGTGGAAGGGATGAGGCCAGGGGCAGCCAGCTCTCAGCACTGCCCAGAGTGCATCATGCCAGCCTCCCTCCCCTCCCCACAGCCCTTAGAGCTACCCAGAGGGCGCTACTTCCCCACACCCCCCCACGAGCCCACTTTCGAATCACCAGGCCCTGGTGCAATTACCCCCTTTGCCCCTCCTGCCCCCGTTAGTGCTCCTGGTACTGGCAGATGGTATGGGGGCGGGGGTGCTGGTGAGATGCTGGAGGGTGGGACCTGCGGCCTCACACTTAAAAGAGGGAAGAACATCATACCCTGTCATGGTGGCAGGGCAGCTGACTCAGACTCAGGACACAGCACCAACCATCCATCAGCACCTCTCTGCCAGGCTCTTCCCCTCCCCAGGGTTAGGAGCGGGGCACCTGGGTAGGTGGGATCTGGCAGCTTCAGGGGAGGACCAGTCAGGGCACAGAGACACGCTCTTTCTGAGCTGCAGTGTCTGCTCTGCAAACATCCCAGCCATGTCCTCTGCCTGGAAAAATCTGCCCAGACAGAGGGCAGAGGATCAAAAAAAGGAAACCTCCAGAAAAACCCAGACGTATAGTATCCCTAATTGGATCCCACTTCCGAGCTAGGATACCATGACAGAGGTGGGCAACCTGCGGCCCGAGAGCCACATGCGGCCTGTCAGGATTCTGGGGGGGGGGCCCACAAGACATTTTGTTTACCGTTGCTCATGCAAAGGATTGCCAAATACTGCTGGTTTCTGTCCGCGTAGGTTTTTCCTACCGATATGACCAAAGTGACACGGACACAAAGCCAGGGCACGTGATGTGAAGAGCAGGCCGATTGCACACAACATTGACTGTAAGAGCCACGTGCTCCTCTGCATCCAATCAAAACGCTGCTGCAGTTGATTGGCTACACCCCACAAATTCTACTTACGCAAGCACAGTGAGCAAAACTGCCCTGTCTCGGGAGACAGTCTTGGTTATGACAGTCCTTGCGGTACATTGAGATGAAGGAAGGCCACTCATGCGGCCCATTCACTAGCCTAGGTTGCCCATCACTGGTCGATGCTCAGGGAATTAACCTGGAGGGGAAAGAAAGATACAGAACCAGAAGCCCACTCAAACCGCATGAGCGTATAAGTTCACAGAGCCACAGAGCCAGCGTATGGTCCAAATGCAGCAGCCTGATGAGTGCTGAGGCAAAGGACTGTTTGCCGGATCTATCACAGTAGTTAAAGATCTCAGATAGAAACAAGGTCAATGCCTGTCTCTGCCTAGGGTTGCCAGGTGTCCAGTTTTCACCCAGGCAGGTCGGTATTTTGGCCTTCCATCTGGTAAAAAAAAAAACAGAGATTTTCTGTTTTCCTTGGACAGAAGGCCAGCGGCATCTGCAAGGGGAAGTGAGGAGTGAAGTAATTTAAAGGCGCAGGGACCCTTTTTTTTTTTTTTTGCTTAACCAATTTTTCCCTGCCTCTTCAGGATTTTTTGTGAAGGTTATCTGGCAACCCTACCTCTACCACGGGCTTCAAGAAAGTCATTTAATCTTTGTTTGCCTCAGTTTTCCAGCCATACAATGGGAATTAATTTCTTTCCTGTATCCTTTCTCTGGTCTGTTTAGATTGTGAGCACTTTGAAGCAGGGACTGTTTCTCACTATGCACATGGACAATGTCTGTCACACCGGAGCTATGATCTTGATTTGCAGGCCTCTTGGTACTACCGTCATAGAAATACACTGCAATAACTCACTGTTAACCACACTGCACAATCTCTTCTTCCCTCTGAACATTGTTTTTCAGGACAGCCCTTTGAGATCACTACAGTTCTGACGGGGGCAGTTGCCAATATCATTGTGTCCATACTACTCGGAGAGCGGCTTGACTACAAAGACCCCACATTGTTAAAACTACTAAGTCTGATCAGTGAAAATGCCAGGGTGCTTGGAAGTCCCTCTGTTACGGTAATTCTGGTTATTTTAAAGTCAATTGTAGGGGGTAGGTGAAAGCCCAGCTGGGAAAGGCAAGCCCCAGCTCTGCCCCTTCCGCCGGAGGTCCTGCCCCCAGAGCCAAACCCCACCCACCCCCAGCCTGATCCTTCCTGGCCACGTGGGGAGCCAAAGATGCTCTGCTGCAGCCCTGGCCCAGCCTAGTCCTCCCTGGCGGTCATGAGAGCCGCGCTGCTGTGCCATGGCCCCATCCCTTCCCAGCAGCCAGGGAAGCCAGACTGCCACGCCATGGCCTCATCCCTCCCCAGCAGCCAGGGAAGCCAGGCTGCCACGCAATGGCCCCATCCCTCCCTATCAGCCAGGAAAGCCGGGCTGCCACGCCGTGGCCTCATTCCTCCCTGGAAGCCACGGAAGACAGGCTGCCACAATGTGGCCTCATCTCCCACCCCTCCCCCGGCAGCCAGGGAAGCCAAGCTGCCACGCCATAGCCTATCCCTCCCCGGCAACCGGGGAAGCCAGGCTGCCAACCTGAGGCCCCAGCCTTCCCCCGACAGCTGCGTGTTCTCACCATTCCGCGGTGCTAGCCCCGGCCTGAGGTGATCGGGTGCATAGGCAGTTTTGGGAAGGCTATGCCTTCCCTTGTCTACATTACCAGCCACCCCTGTAAGTCATTATTCATGTGCATGCAGTACACACATAATAATTGTGTGCTGTATATACAGCATGGCATCAGATCATTTCTACCAATCAAACTCATCCAACAAATAAGATGATGATGTATCTGTCTAGAATAGATATGTACCCCTACATAGGTTCTAACTCTGGGGGTCCTCCAGAGCTTGAAAAAATAAATGGGTGCTCAGCAGCCCTATGTATCAGTGACTCCCCCTCCACCCGGCACTTCCTGCTCACTGGAAGACCCATTGATCAACTTCTCCCTCTTTCTCCCAGCATCTCCTTCCCAGCTGTTTAGCGGAGTGCATGAGGCACCATGGAAAAGGGGGAGGTGCAAGGGAGAGGTTTGCTCAGGGGTGGGAGGAGGATG